GGAAGACTGTGCATGCACACTGAGGTTCCACACATGCCTGGAGTCCTCACCCAGGCTGTAAATGCGTGGTGGGTGATGTGGTGATGGCACGTCCCTATGTGTGCCCTGACTGTTGTCTGGGGGTCGGGGCTGTCTCTTAAAGAGGTAGAGCCTATCAGCATTAAAGCCTGAACCTTTCAAAAGGAGTGCCCCCCCTCCCCGAGCCACCTCCACATGACTGAATGACCTGGTTCACCAGGTGGGAGAACTCACCTCCTTCTGGGTTTTGGCACCAAGATAATAATAGGTTTTCTGTCCCCTCATAATAGGTTTCTCCACTAACACAGGTACGCCAGATCAAGCCAACTTGAAAAAGTATAATAACAAGTTTATTTGAGCAAAGCAACTCCCAGGCAGGTTCTCCAGTCCCAGAGATTGGGGCCAGAGAAGCCACATGCCCAAACAAAAGCAAGGAGATTATATAGGTTTTAGGTGAGGGGGTGATGACATGTCCACCACAGTCTGGGTTTGAGCTCAAGTATGGTCAAAAGCTGAGTGCCTTAGGTGGGGACTTGGGCAGATGCAACTTCAGGGGAGGAAGCCACAGCAGCTAAGAACGTGCAATTGGGCTTTTTTGTGCCTTCCCTTTGTTGGAGAGCCTCTGAGTGGGTGGGGTTTGGAGAGACAGGAATGGGGCTTTCTGGACCATGTATGGGCCAGCTGGAGGTTCCAGCTGAACACAAGTCACATGCAAAGGCAGCCCCACCTGAATAACAGCTCATTTCTCAGCAGAAACTTTAAATAAAAGCCAGAACATGGAAAAATACACTTCAGGTTTGGAAAGATAATACTTGTCAACCCAGATTAATATTGTAAGTAAGGGTTCAGTGAAGCCACCAGACTGGACTACTCAATGGGGAGAAAGAAAAGTTTATTGGGGGAACAAACTGCCAATCTGACTCCAAGAATCGATGGCAGGAGCTTGGCAGGAAAGTGAGCAGGTTCTCTATAAGAGCCAACAGGATGCGGGTCTTTGAGCTGATAGTCGGCTATTAGATTAATTATTTGGGAACTAGATGCCCTTGCTCCAGGTAGTTTGGGTGGGTAAGGGAGTAAGGGAAGTGGTGTGTTTTCCTAGTAAACGCAAGTCTTCCTTAGGAGATTCCTGAGGAATGCTGAGTGTAGGCTTCTGCTTACCCTTGTTTACCTGCTCAGAGCCCTTCTGTTTAGGATGGTGTCGCCAGCACTGCCAGTTTTAGGGCCTGCTTTGAACCTAACAAGTATACCCAGGGAAACTATCTGTTATAATTGATAGAAAAAGAACATCCTCTAAATAGAGCAGGCGAGGGAATTTATGTCCACAACATCAGCTCCATAGCAGATACTGGGAGGAATTCTTTGGATTGAGAAAAACAACGAGCACATCGTAGAGGCTTTAGATGCTACTGTGACAGCTAAACAAATATGAATTTGGAAAACAACAAACACTGCAAAACCAGCAAAATGGCAATAATTAATATACACCTTTCAACAATACTTCCAAATATTAATGGTTTCCAATCATAAGACACTGACTAGCAAACTGTACTTAAAAGCAGGATCCATCTATTTGCTGCTTCCCAAAGACACAAAACGTCTCACCATCAAAGGTAGATACTGTTATTCTTTTGCTTAAATTAGAAATTTGAGAGAGATGGACAATGGAACTTATGGAGAACACATTAACCAGTTTATTATAGCTTGGGAGAGAGGGGGGGGAGAGAACTGGAAGATCAGAGCAGAGCAGAGAGTAAGAGAGAAGAGAGGAGAGGTCATCCGCCGGGGACAGTGTTAATGGCCAACTGCCGATCGCCAGAAAGAAGGATAAAAGGCTGGAAAACGTATCCCAAGCAAATCAAACTAGGAAACAGACAGGCATTGCTACTCTAATATCCAACAAATAAATAAACAAACAAAGGAACAAGCTGACAAGAGGACACTACAGTTCTAAATATATATGTACCAAATACACAGTAGCCTTAAAAACAAAAACAAATTGGAATAGACCTAGCCAAGAAAATACCGCTGCCGGGCGTTGGTGGTGCAAGCCTTTAATCCCAGTACTCGGGAGGCAGAGGCAGGCGGATCTCTGTGAGGTTGAGACCAGCCTGGTCTACAAGAGCTAGTTCCCAGGACAGCCTCCAAACCCACAGAGAAACCCTGTCTCGAAAAACCAAAGGGGGAAAAAAAGGACCTTTTGTTTTGAAACAAAAGAGTTTTTCATTCTAGTATTGTACCGATGCCCATCCTGTAAAGAAACTCTCACTTTTGCTCCAGTAAACAACTCTGATACACACACACACACACACACACACACACACACACACGTGCTACAGTATACTCAGAATTGGGAATATAAACAGGAAAAATTAATCTGAGGAGAAAAGTAAAGTGTACAAGGTACAAGCAGTAGAAGGTGCTCTATTTAGGCTGATATTTTTTGAGGGGTGATGGGTTCAAGACA